AAGTGCGATTTATCTTTTTATGAACCTCGTATGAAAATCTTATCTGATTCTTATAAGACACTTACGACTGTCGATGGAAAATCTTAAACAATCTTATATAAGAACCTGATAAGATTCTTATAAGAATCTTATAAGATACTGATAAGAGACTTATAGGTTTCTGGTAAGATACTTATATAAGAATCGATCTCTAGGGCACTTGTTGTCAAGTGGATGTTGGTTTTTTTGGTTGGATTGTCATATAGAACATGATCAATTCTAAATTGTGTCACGGGCGGAAGTAGGACTTCTTCGTCTGGATAATGTGAACGTGTCGATATTTCTATGCCTGCGAAGTCTGGTGCGTCAATAATGAATAAGGTATTTCCGAAAGCTTCGGCTGTGTGACGGCTTTTACTTGTTGAAGTAAATGCATTCCAAGTACTGGTTTTTCCAATGGAATCCTAATAAGCTTTGATCATGTTTGCGCCTCGATAGATTTTGGCTTGATACCGGTCATCGCTGTGTAGCCAGGGTTTGAATAAAAGGTATGAAAATGGGCGGGAGTGTCTACTTTAGTCATATCAGTTTCTCGCATTGTTTTGTTCAGTAGTTTGTATAAGAAATATTCTTTTGTGTATAGCATAATGCAACACTTGTAAATTTCTTTCACTTCTCATTTTGTACGCTTTTCAATTATCGGACAATCCATTGTGATGATCGGACAATCCAATGTTGGCCTAGTTGAGTGCCTTTCATAATTATTCCATTCGCTGCTTGGTTCACTATATCAGCGCTACCCATGTAGAAGTTCTTTGAATAAAACCGCGGTTAATCGCGGTATGCAAACCCGCAGCTTTTGCCGGTTAAGTACACCGCAGGAGTTAGACCGTTTATTAGGTTTTTACACACCGGCCGAAATCGCAGTTTCAAGCGTTTTTTTTTTACAAAAACGATTCTCTTGATATTATCGCCGGTATCTGTTCGTTTTCTGTCATTCTCTCTTTCTTCATTCGACATTTGTTTCTATAGCTCTGACCGCATTTACCCCTGTTATTACCGCTGCATCCATACACCGCGGTTGTGCTTCTATTGCACTCGGTGATCCCGTAACGCGGTCAGCCTATCTGAAACCACCAATCTTTCATATACTTTGTGCAAGATCGAACTCCTTACCTTTAATTTGCTTGTCCAACATGTTTCCATTGAGCCATCTCGGATTGTTCATACAATGATCAAAATTGATGTTATATCTTACCGATCTAAGTGTAGTTTCAGTTATCACTGAAACTGCGCATAGTTAAGGTTATTGTGCAAGCATATAGTCTAAGTTATTGCGCAAGGATATTCAAGGCTATGGTGCAAGAATATTCAAGGTTATTGCATAGAGTATAGCCAACATTATTGCTAGTATAAATAGACTGAGTTTATTGTTAAAGGAGGACTTTTACTTGTAAATAAACGTTAGGTGAGAAAGATCTTAGTTCACACGGGAACCTAACAATGTTCGATGCGTAAATGCGTGTACATGGTATATTTATTAAAATTCTGTATCTTTAAACACACCATTAAAAGATAACGAAAAATTTGCCTATGAGAAAATGCATTGCGCGATACAATAACAATTGCCTATAATCGAATTATCGATCTCAATCGTATTCATTCATCCCCATTTAAATATTGTATCGGCAACATCATCAGATTCATCATAGTATTTTTTGGATACAGGGTATTTTAGAAACACTTTTCGCATTAGTTCCGCAGCATTACGACATTCTTTTATCGAATTACAGTTGCGTAAATGATTTCGTCGAATAGGGTCTGCTTCTTCTAACACTAAATATAAAAGAAGTTTTTTAGCATAATAAAGAAACAATAAGTGAATTGTTTTACCTGACTCCCATCCCGGTTCGTTTGGCACAGTCCACTCATGTCCATGTATGACGAATTTTTGCAGGTGTGGACGGCATAGAACGAAACAAAATAGGGTAAAAGAAAATAATGTTACAAAAATGATTAATCGCATTCCACACTCCTAGAATGAAACAATATTACTAGTATAGAGTAGAGTGAAGTGAATCAAAATTGAAAATGTATAATTTTTCTTAAACGATACCAGTAAATGGTCGAAAGTTTTCTCTATCCATTCCTGTAAAAGCCATTTAAAAATCTCTTTCTAAGACCTAACTTCAAGCACTTTACTGAGGCTTACACATGAAACTTTTGATTCATCTCAGGTGAGATGAATCAAAACTCATTAAATTGCTGTAGTTTAGGTAATGCTTATATGTAATGCAGACAAATTTACAATTGAATAGAATACAATGCCAGACTATTTGTAGACACACATACATTGAAATCGCTGAGTCGTGATGTTTGAAACAACCAGTTGTTTATTAAGAATTTTAGAAAATGGAAGACTTTTATATTCTAGCCGGTAGAGGCAAATAGAACTTAACTTAGACAAAATAATGTTTGATTTTCATTTCCTTTTGAGGATAATGTTTAGAGTCGGATGTCCTTTGAAATTAAGAAAATTTTTGATGGATGTTCAAACGTGCCCATTACGTATAGGAAATTGTGAGTAGAGAAATGATGAAAATTACTTTTAAATATACCTTTTAACCATAGATACCTATTCAACACAAGGCGTTTGATAAGAAAAAATTGTTTTTATTAGGCGAAATCACTCCCAAAATACTACGAACTATATATTTCCAATTTTGGTTCATACTACTATACCCTATAGTACTAGTCACTCAGCATCACACGATTCAGCTGAACATCCTCCTACACTGTGCATTACATATAGGTCATCTAATTAAGTAGAAAATAAAATATTTCTCAGTTCTCTTCTTGAATTTTTTTCATTTCTTTGGGCAATATATTTATACAGAAAATACCTAATTATAGTTCTCTGGAGGTTTCTGTAAATCCTTCTCCTTGCGACCTATTTTGAGTAGAGTTTATAAGTGATTAATAAGCTTAAAAAAACGATTGTGAAATATCAGAAATGTTGAAATAATTTTTCCCACTAAAAGAGAAAACATTCCTGCTTCCTTATTTATGTATTTCTACATAACATACTTCTACATCAAAAGACATTTAACAATAAAATACACAAAAATTAATTTTTATTCGCTTGTTGGCTCTAAATCGTAATAATGAATAAAATACACGCTTGAAATTTTTACAAAGTGACATCCATCAACTTTAATTATTTGAATATGATGTAACATTATTCTCACTTACCGTCGTCACAAAAAAACGAGCGAATATTTCTTAGAATAATTATGAGAGAAAGTAAAGCTTTAAACAGAATTTGTTGCAATCAATCAATGTCAGTCAATAAAATGTTGTTGCTTTTTAAACACTGTTTGAGACGCTTTTACGCCTTTTTCTGTCATAGAGCTACCTGCGGAGCATCGTATATGAAAAGGTGACTTCGACTAATTTATCTCTATCGCGCTAGTTGCCCTATTCCCTTTTGCATAATTAAAGAAAAATAATTATATTTTTGACAATTACATCACTCATCTAATGATCCATGATGACATGTTATTGAATAAGTTAATCTTTTATACATGGCAAGTGTTCGTCAGAAAAGAATTTTATAATCTGTCTTCTTTGAATCTTTGAAGGATAATCTATTGGGGCCCTATTGGCGAGGAATAACTCGGATTTTAGTCACCAAAAGCACGCGAAATGACTTAAAATCAAATGGAAATAGTTTTCTACTACTGAACAAGCCTTTTTCAGGTAAAAAATAAAGTGAGTCAATTACCAATCTTATGCCATCTAAACCATCTTCTCCGTGTTATAGAATATTTATAGTGAATAAAAAAAAAATTTTAGTTATAACTTACGGTTAATTTTGTAAAAGTTATCACATAATATAATTAAATGTTTTTGCTATTTAAAAACAAATTTAGAGCTTGGTGTAATCGTTTATAGCACTGTCATGTCACTAGTCGAGAGTTGTTTTATTGGATACATAGGGTATTTATCTGGCTTTCTTTTTCTCTTTGCTTTTTTCTGACTTTTTTTCTCCAGTATCTATGGACTTTTTTGCATTTGTTGATTTATTATTGTTTTCATTTAATCTCTATTTTTGTTGCTTTTAACAGGCAGAAAGAACATGTAGATTTAATTTCATCACAGTGACAACAACAAAATAACAACGATACCTTTATTCTTATTTAAGTTGAAAATCTTTTTAACCACCGAGATTATTATAAGAATCTTATAAGAAATGCAAATGGTTAATAACATCGTCTTTTCCGACATTTTTCTACAATGAACCTTGGCACTTTCAAATAAGAAAAAAATGATAGTTTTTCTTTTTTCTTGCAAAAGTTCTTGAAGTACGATCATCTAATGGCAAATAAAAAAAAGATTACAAGGTTATATTTGACTTCATTTATAGAAAAGTCGTAGTGGTGAAGGATACGACAATCTAATTGCGTTCAATATGTATTTTAGAAGGATTTACAGCTACAGTGTTTAGTGGCATAAATTCTAAAATGTGTACATTTATGAATGTAGGTTCTAATAAAATATTTATTATTAAACTTATAAATTATGCTGTATGATCACCGAGAAATATGTCGAACTATTTCTTTATTAAAACTGTTAGAATGACGTATAACATAGATTAAATGCCTTTGAAACGATCACAACACATTTTATCTTCATGACCAATTTACTGATGTGATTTATGAATTTTAGAGACAAGAACATCGACAGTTAAGAAATCTTAATTGGATTTCGAAAGACATAGTTGTGTAGGCTAGACATTGACGCATATTAAACTATAGCTATTTTCCCTTCGGATTAATTGATTGTCTCTAAAATTCACTTTAACTAATTTTCACTTAGCGTCAGTTACGTTCCGATACATACGTAAAATGTTTATCTGTAAAGAACATTCTACAACCCGAGATACACTTTAACTTAATTTGCTTTTCTACGATTGAACCCCATACCAAACGATATATAAAAAAGCTCTAGATGCCTTTTCGTTTAAACGCTTGATTTATTTTACTAAAAGATACATAATTTACTAATATTGTTAGTTCTAAATGTCACATTTAATCGAAACTATCTTCTATGTCTCAATAAAAAGTAGTTAAAACATTGAGAAAATGAATAAATACTGCTTTATGAATAAATACTGCGTAATAAACATTGAGCAAACGTGACTCTGAAAAACGACATATGTCATGTACTTTAGTTTTTATTGCACAAACTCATTCTATACACCCTCTAAGACAAATTTAACGATAATCGTTCGTTTTCTTTTAACCCTTGTACTACCAACCAGGGTCTATTTAGACCCTGTTCTCAAAAAACAAGAAAATGAGATGAAATTTTTTTTTTTGCATGGATCGAAGTATGAAATACATTCTATAAATGCATTCTATTTGTTGTGTCTAAAATGGACTTGGGAGTACAAGGGTTAATAATAGTGATACCTTATGTTTAGAAACAGATTGGAAAAGAATCATCTCAGCTATGGAACAGAGATCATGAAACGAAGTCAAACATAATTTAAGAGTATTTAGATGAACATTATCATACACATCCTTATTAAAGAGCATGTTTTCTCGGACGGTGATACCCTTCTATACCTGTTCTTTCTCTTTCTTTGTTTACATATGTGACAATGATTTTTTGATTTGATGCTTTAGAAAGGAAAAATATCATCAAATTTTTAATAAAGTCAGTTGGTAGAGGAATTGCTTTCATTGTAGGAGTATTTTAAATTCTATAGAAATGCTGTAAAAAGACACATGTACAATAAAAATGTATTTTTCTCAAAAACCATAAGTCAGATTATTTCACATATGCCAAGGTGTAGTTGACAAAGTTCTCTACAAAACTGTGTGTTTTCTGATGTATGCGTCAAACAATATGATCGATTGAAAACTGATAATTTTTCGACTAAAAAAAAATCAAAACTGTAAATGGTTCTAACTTAGCAACTATGTAACGGTAGTATCTAAACACTCTGTTCGTGATTAGCAGTTTACTTTACTACAGACGATATGTTTTGATAAAATCTCAAAGTGACACCTGGGAATGTTTCATCGTTAGCTCCCCTATAAAAAAATTCCAGTGCGGCACTGGTAAAAATCAGTGTGGCACTGCCAGTGCGCACCGCTGCTTATGGCATGTCATCGGTCACTGACAGTGGCTGCCACCGGTGCGTACCCGTGCCTAGCAAGTGTCGATATATTTCTGCCCACAAAGTGCCGCACTGAAATTTATTTAATCAGCTTAATTAGTTTTTTATCATGATTGTTCATACTGAATTTTGTATTAGAATGCGGCACTGATAAGTACCACATTGACATGCCAAAACCATACGGCATTGCCTCGACATTTCTCTTATGAGAATTCTCATAAGAGAAATGTCGAGGCAATGCCGTATGGTTTTGGCATGTCAATGTGGTACTTATCAGTGCCGCATTCTAATACAAAATTCAGTATGAACAATCATGATAAAAAACTAATTAAGCTGGTTAAATAAAGTTTAAAGTGCCGCCTGGGAATTTTTTTATAGGAAGATGAAGTCAGAAAGACATTCGAAATATTAAAAGTATACCGTGGTATCGTGTCTCCTCGATTCGTCCCTAATTACTCTCTCTCAATTCGTTTCACCTTTTTTAGTCTCAATTCGTCCCCATTTTTTCGCTCTCAATTTGTCCCATTTTTTAAATACTTATTCTACATAAGTTCTCTTTGTGTACTAATGAATGACCTACCGAGAATTAACAACCACGTAGAGAGATATTATAAACGTTTAGAAAGTGTATTTCCTGTTCATCCGCACATTTATGAATTTATTGATCTATTACATTAAGAACATATCGGTCAGCATTATCACGCAGAAGAATCTGAAGTCCAAACTCGTAAACGTAAAAAAATTACAATGAAATTGATGAAAAATTGAAAAGTTTACTCGACATTCATGAAAAAGGGAAGTTAACAAAGGCACAACTAGCCATAAAATGCGGAAAAGCTGTAAAAATTCAGATGGAATAAAGACAATGTATTAATAATATTTTTTTGTTTCCATTTCTAAAAGTTAAGTTAAATATAAGAGAACTTATGTAGAATAAGTATTTAAAAAATGGGACGAATTGTTTGGGAGGACCTGAGAAAAAAAATTGTGGGACGAATTGAGAGGGCTTTTTTTGTCCATTTTTACTAAGTATGTTTTCAATTTATTAGAATTTAAAGTTTATTTCTTATTCTTATACTATCGCTATTTATTATTGTAAGTTAACTATTTCGTGTTACGAAAAAATTAGTTAGGATTAAAAGGCGTCTACGGTAACGAACGTATTTCAAGAACTGGAAAATTCGGTGAATCCATGAATAGTGTTAGCAACAGAGTTGATCCTGCATGCAGGAGATATCTACTTCATACAATCAATAAAAAACGTAAAGTAACCATATGTTTGCATTAACAAGTGCAGCTTCTTGGCAATAAACATTTCTCTATTTCTACAAAGAATAGTTTTTTCCTTATTTTTGAACATAATACATTACATAATAGATAATTATTTCAGAGATGTAGTTTTTCCATTCCGACCGAGGCACGGATTTTTGACGAGAATAATCAAGGGAACTATTTTGGCCAGTCCAGACAGACATTTGACGTAGCACATCGCTTAGCGAGTGTATATATACATATATATATATAGATATAATATCATACATGATAATATATATTCATACGTCCTTCCCATACAAGTATATATGCGCTATGACAGCAGAATTTCAGAATTGAAAGATTCGAGAGGATCCCACAATTATAGTATTCAAGAATTGGAGAATTTCAGGATACCAGGATTCAGAAAGTTGATATAATGGTGACGAGTCAAGCTCTCTGAAACATAAGATTTTATTATGAAGAGAGAGTCTATCTATTCCACATCCTGTCTGATAACGTGGGTTGTTTCGAACACCTCTCTGGCGATATTTTGATGTTAATTAAACTTGCGGAAAAAATTAAGATATCTGATGGACTTTGAGGTATTCTATAGAGAAACAAGCACTACTCTCCCCTTATCAGGAAGGTTTCGGTTCAAACACTTCCTTCATACAAACGGGGGGAGTGAGAGTGAGTAACAAAACAACATTCAACGTTCCGATGTCATCGAATATACGCTTGATATCCTGAATATCTTAAATGTCTCAGATATCCCCTAACCAACTGACCTTGCATTCT